ATTTGCTCAAACCCGTTCCGCAAAAGGTGGACCTTGGTGGGGTTGACGGACCTACTAAGCTGGTATCCGGAGCCGCTCCGCTCGTCGCGACTTGCAGTGTTGGCGGCCCACTGCTCTTCACTGCCAAGGCCTCCACCTGCACCACCTGCACTCCCTCAATGCTCCTTTCTTTTTTTCTGGATGTTTTATCGGTCACTGAGCTATATAATTACGTGTTGTTTTGTTTGTTTTTACTAACCGATAATAAATCATAATCATAATCATAATCTATGCCGCGTCACACGTCCTATGGTTTGCAGGTATCACGACTGTATTCAGTTAGCCCGGACATATTTCAATTTTTTTCGTGTTCTTTGAGAAGATTAAGCGGCGAAACTAACACATGTCATCTACAGTGTTGCTCGCGGCGGATGCCGCTAGGTGTCACAGTTTGGCGTGGCGCCAGCATAGTTTCCACCAACTGTTGTCTCTTGCCCCTCTAACAATTGGTGGAGAACAGGCTGGCGCCGCGCCAAAACCAGCTCCCTGACACGCCTCTGCATCCGCAGCGAACATACTTGGTTGAATCCATGGCGTTTGCTCGATTCTGAAACGACTCCTATGCACTAGTTTGACGCTCACCTGTAGTGTTCCTCGAGAGCAGAATTTCCATAACAAGAGCATTTCAGACTTTTCATTGAAAGCAATACCAAGGAACGGATTTAAGTTGTCGTGTACTACTTGCTTCATCTGAAATCAACCACTAGTCTCATTAATGCATACGAGTTCGATATTTTCAACGCAAGGATGCCTGTTGAATTAATAGGCTTATTCAAGCCGTATTCAAGAACAACTAAGGTTCCAAATAGGATGCAAAGGCGGGCTACATATCGTCGTGATGATGGATAATGTGTAAATAGCGTCCAAAGTCCATCTCTTTCAGATTTCCAAAAATTTCTGAGTGTGACCAATGGAAAAGGATACCTTGCTCGTGGAATAGTAAAGTCAAAGTTCACTGGGCATCTCTTTATGAAAGACCCATGGTGCAATGTTCCTGAGAACACTAAAACACCGGCACTATTTACCCTTTACTGCCCCAACAATCCCAAATTGAGCCAGTTTCTGACCGACTTTTTTCTCCGTGGACAGATTTGGCTCAAATGTTGTCTCCTGGGGTATTTTGACCTCCTGAATACGAATATGACATTCACATTGCCCGAAACCTGGCGCCTGCGCCACAGGCGCCGGTGATCTGAGGTGTTTTGGCGCCAGCACCTGTAGCGCGCGGCGGCAGGAGGTTTTGCGCCGAGCGGATGTGATATTCGTGATCAGGGGGTCAAACTACCCCTAGGAGCAGGTTTTCAGCGAATTTGGTGAGTTCGACTATTTTGGCGCCAGCGCCCGTGGCGCGGGCGCCAGAGGGTTTCGGGTTAAGCGGATGCGATATTCGTGTTCAGCGAGTCGAACTACCCCTGGAGCCAAGTTTTCATCGAATTCTGTCCACGGAGAAAAAAGTCGGTCAGGAACTGGCCTGATTTCAGATGACTGGGGCAGTAAAGGGTAAATAGTGCCAGCACCCCCTTCAGCCTTCAGGTCGGACGAGGTGAAGCTGTCCATCATCGCTGTCGAGCCCAAGACTGCCTACATCAATAGCGCCAGCCTGACGCAGCTGTAGATTTCCACGGTTGGTCAGTGGGACTCAGGATTCTAGAGCGTGTCACCAGTTTATAGTGAAAGAGACCAAAGCTTCAGCCTTTGTTGTGGTAAAACCCCCGCGCTATGGTCCATGATTCATTTCTCATGACTCAAAAAGCAGAGCCTGCGATCAGTCGACATCACAGATAGTGGCTTAGGGCCTTGCATATAGACGACAAGGATCGAGCAACTATCAGGTTGTTCGGAAAGAAATGCGCGTTGAATTTGTCCATTTATTTCTCTCCTACTATAGAAGATTTTTTGAAACAGTTTTGTCTATTAGAAAGAGATTTTTATTGTGCATCTTTTGATATATTTTTGTCTATGTCTACTTTGTTTTTTTTTTTGAAGAAAAAAAAGTTACTTCTTCTCTCTTCTTACTGTCAAGCGTGTCCGAAAGACGTCGACAAATCTCCAGAGGCAACGCCCGTCCACATGTTCGCGAAAATCACATGGAAAAAAATTAAGGAGTTTGAAGCTGGAAAGAACGCAGCCTCATCGCGCCATACAGCTCAGACCTGGCAGCCATATAAAACCATCCTGTTCCAGTCGATGCAGCACTCCCTGGCCGAGAGAAAGTTCACAAACCGCGAAGAAGTCCAACTCTGGGTGTCCAACTACTTTGAGTCGCAGCCGGCCGAGTTCTTCGAAAGAGGAATCCATTCTTTGCATAAACGTTGGCAACAAGTCATTGATAGTAATGGAGATTATCTTTTGAATTAATCTTGTTTAATTTCGTTTTTATAATAAAAAATTTTTAAACTCAAACGCGCATTTCTTTCCGAACAACCAGATAGTTAAGAAAAAGCAGAAAAAACATGCCAACTGCCCTAGATAGAACCCCATTTTGATCCCAGTTTGTACGTGCCCAGTTAACTCCATCTCCAGCACTACGCCCCATCCGCACAGCTGATTCCCCATAAGAACTCTACGACCGTACAAGTGACGATTTTCATGCTTTTTTCGTCCTGCAGCTTCGTTTTTCACTGAAGGCGGGCCTTGAGGGCGGAGTCTGGAGGCGGAGTCACTGGAAAAAGGAGGCGTCACTGAACCTATATTGCGCTATAGCGCCCCTCCCTTACAATTTTTTGCCGCGAAACCGGTACAAGGTTGTTCGTCGCGGACCACTCTACTCCTCCCGACGCCATATTTTCAACTTCTATACCTGATCGCGGACCGTGCATTCAACTCTGACAGCCCACTCTATCGTCAAGTGCTATAAGGCACGTCGGTTCTACGGATTCCAAGGGTGCAGAGGCTGAGGTCAGTTCCTGTTTTGATTGGTCACACTATTTTACCCCGTCATTTCGAGCGAAAACTTCTAGGGATATTCTCCACGAGCAAGGTGTTTGAGTTGGCCACTTCTGTAGTAATTTTGGCAGTAGCAAACGAGGCGATGGGAGGGATACTGCGTGCGTGAAAAGTGGATAAAAATCAAGAACCGGATAATTTTACCACGACTTGAAAAAACCTGTAGCGAGGCCGAGTGCGACTCTGCCCTTAGCTGAAAGGATTTTCTCAATGATAGCGTATCCTGCTAGACGTTCGGTACTGCAGTACTATGCCTCACCCTAGCGAGCAGTGTGAGGTCGCCACGAGTGAATTTGATTGGTCGTCGCTGCTCGTACATATGATACGTTGCATGGGTGTTCACTCCAATGATTGCATGATGTTGCAGAACCGTCATGTTCGAGTTTGACAACTTCGTCCTCTGCGAACCCAGCGAAAGCTAAAATAAAGCGAATTTTATAGAAATAAGGTGTACTTTCTCGTTATTAGTTAACA